CACCTCTTTTTAAAAAGGTCAGCGGATTTTCGAAAAGATAGTCCCTCTCAGTATTTTAAATTTTTCTCGGTGATAATGCGCACTAAAAAATTCAAAATAACATATTCTTAATCAGCATGACATTCTCTATCGAATGATGCATATCTGAAGCGAAAATAAAAATACTGCTCGGAGTTCGAATTTGAAGAGCCTTAATAATCGAATCCGAACTGGTTTATCTGTAGCTGAAAGAAAACAAGATGGATATCGAACAAACTCTTTTCTGTTGTAAACAATTTGTAACCATAACCAAGTTAATATTAACATGATAACTGCTGCTGGTAATGCAAATAACAGAAAATTTGAAAATGTCACACGAAAATTTGTATTACTATAAAGTCTATTCATGAAAAAGAAATACAATAGTCAAATAATAAATGTCAATTCTGATAAGTTAATTTCTCACTTACCCGTCGGTAAAACCTTTAACATATATATTCGATGACGCACCGACAAGTGTCGCTAAGCCACCAATGGATGCACTATAAGCTGTAGCCAATAAGAATCCTAAAACAACTGATTTGTACTTCTAAAAATATACTTATTAATAATTTATTGATATTATATTTTACCTTTTTTAAGATGATCAACTTCGTTACTTTCCCTGTTTGATGATAGCTATAAATGACACATAAAAACAGACGTTCAAACTGACTTACGGTTGTTGTTCTTCATCAATTTCGAATGCATTAACTAATACAGTGGACAAAGGTTGTACTGTACTTGTTGGAGACTTAGTGTGATATTTTTTTAATTCATCGGTTATCGCCAGTGTTACTGGTAACATTATTGATGCGCAAGCGGCACTAACAACAAAAACGATCGTTTATTTAGCATGAAAAATTAAAAATTATCCAAGATTTACTTGTTAATCCACATCGAAAGAAAGGCTGTTGTTAGCATAATACCTGCCATTGTCCTAAAATTTTAAAATCAAAAATGCGTATACGGGGAAAAAAAACCGTGAAACTCATGTTTGGCGTGGTTTTTTTCACGGTTTTACTTCTTCATGCTTTTGTTTCCTATAGTTCCTATATGACAGTTTTACTTTGACGGTTTTAAAACTATTAGAAAAACCGTCCAGGTAAAACTGTGCAAGTAAAACCGTCCACTTTGATAGGAAAGAGAAAAAGAACAGCTCCCCCAGGAATCGAACCTAAGGCGCTAATTCATAACCTTGGCGAGTATGAATTATGAGACCAAGACACAAACAACTGAACTGAGGAACTTACAGAAGTATATTTTCGCACTGCATACTCATCATGTTCTCGGGTAGACTTCTGTAAAAACTTCAGCATCTTACGAAAACCTGTCGCTGTTGAATTTGTAAAGCTCCTCGCTATCGTACATGTATCTGAGATGTAAAAGAGAAACGCTAACTGTGTAGGTGTGCACATATATCATATGATATCATCGAGTGTATTCTATGACGAAAGTCTAGAAACTTATGGCTAGAGAAGATGTTCACTATACCCTTCCCCTCTACCGTCTAACACTATAAGCGGCATCAGAACAATTTCAGGATAATCCCAGTTTCAAAGAAAAGAATTTCTAAAACGAGAAAGTTCACACAACAGGCATATTTTGCAGCAACGTGCGCTGGAAGACATCTTCCCCTCCGCCCTGTCCCAAGTGCTAGTTTTGCTCACTTATCTACCCGGCTATGCTCTTTACTGAATAATCCTGAGTGTGATAGATTTGTCGAGAAGCTCAAGGCTCGCTCTGTTAAACTTATGTTGGTTGATTAGGAAGACTTTTTGATAACTGAAACTGGACATATTTTAATGAATTTTGAAGCTTCGACAAAGCCGTCAACTAAAAAGTATGAAAACGATCTCATGGTTTTCCTCTTTACGCTTTTGTTTTCATTGTTTTCCTTTGACAAACCGTCAGTTTATGGTTTTATTTCTACAGTTTTGACCTTTACGCTATTTTTTCATGGTTTTAATTGTACAGTTCTTAAACTGACGGTTTTATTTTACGGTTTTTCTTCTACGGTTCGAAAGCGCCCGGTTTTGTTTCTATGGTTTTGACCTTTACCATTTTACTTCCATAGTTTTTCTTTTATACTTTTGCATTTTACGGTTTTCATAATGTAGGTTTTTACTTCTTAAAACTTGCCTTTGATTCCTTTCAAACTTCTTAACGAGTGATCTCAACTGAAACAATCGGTCGAAACACTTTGACAACTATACGAACTTGGAGTTTCAGGAATTAGAGAAAAACTATCTGAAATATAAGAAGATTAGAAGCATTAAGAACTATCAGCGATCTGCTCAATGACTAATTGAAATATTGTTTATTAAGATCGTGTCCTGAGACGATTCAGTCTAACTTCCCCACCTGTTCCAGCTTTCACATACTGAATTGTTCTAGAGTAGTTGCTAACATTAATAAGAACTACAGGAAGATTTTGGGTTCTCGATCGACTGAATGCTGTATTGGTCAGATCTTCCGCTTGGTAATCGTCACATGCTCACTGTCACTTTTGTTCTATAGTTTGAAATATTCCTGCAATTCCTTCATTTTAAATTGTTTTAGTTCTCAACGTTGTACATCACAATCTTTCAACATCTATGCACTCTGTTGAGATCGAAACATTCAAAGGATCCAGCTATAATTCGTTTAGCTTCAAACATACTATTTAAACTACCGCTTCCTTTTGCTTAGCGGCTTGTCATTTCCTAAACTAGTGTTGTACGATTTTAGTAGGGTGCCGGAAATTCAGAACTTCAGCGCTTTTTGGGTTTGCGATATTTATTCTTGGTTGGATAGAGTTCGACGAGCTGAATCCGAATATGTAAGATGTGATCAGTTAAATTGAAATTTTACGATCGAAAAATTCAAAAAACTGCAAAATTCGCTAATCGAAAAAACGGTCTGTTTTTAGAAAAAAGCATAGATCTTTTAACCGGCTGGTACGAGAAGTTTGAAAGTTTTTTTTTCTTATTCTACGTTGAAAAACTGAATAGGAAAACATAGTTAACTATATTTTCTTATTCACTTTTTCAACGTAGAATAAGAAAAAAAACTTTCAAACCGGCACCTTACTAAAATTGTAAAGAATAGTACGACATTGACTTCCAAGCTGTTTAAATGGAACTTGAGTTTCTCTCATAAATCCTGATAAGTAGGATACTTCACAGAAATTTTTGAAAAATGTGTGTCAGATAAAGTGTAATGATCTAAAATGACGATTTCCTAATTTCTTTCCTTTCGTATACTTCAGATAATTGACTTTTGAGAGGAATAACTTAAGTACGAACCATTTTATTGATGAACCAAGAAAGCTTAAAACAAACAAGGCAATTCGACGATGAAGATTAACACATTCAACTGCATAAGCTACAGCAACGCTACCAAAAAAAAGACTAATTATATCCTATAAAATGACAAACGCAACGGATTACGTAGTAAAAAATTAGTTTCAATCATACTTGAAAATAATTTGGTGCTATTGACTTTGCTTCAACAACACCACTTAATGGAAATAATATTAGTGGTAATATTGATGTAACTGGTAATGGAATTGCTTCAGTCATCCAGTATATAATTAAAATCAAAACAATGTAACCACATCTTGTTTGCTAAAATATTTCATAATTGATTGTCTACTATTATTTTACATAAAAAAGATACATACATCAGTTTTTCCAACTAATGGTAACGGTAATAATACGAGCGGTGTTAGCAAAATAATAAGAGGTTTCCACCATTCGTTAATCCATGATTTAAATGTCATTTTTGTATTTATTGTCACTTCATGCAAAAGGTATTTATGAATGACATTTATTTCAACATAGAAGAAGAAATAAAGGAGTAAGCAACAACCTTCATGGCTTTTATCAGTCCTCAAACAAAAATAATAAATTCTTCCTTTTATGGCTAAGTTACGGTGAAACAAACGTTGCTACAATTTCAGAGTTGGGTAATTCAGGATTTTTCTAAGTATTAAGTGAAATCAACTCAGCGAAAGCATGCTCGCAGTAAAATCAAAGGTAAGAGAAATCGTCTTCATTTATTTTCCTTTTGTGTTCTCATATCTCATCAAACTTGAATACTATATGTTTTTACAATAAAAAATCTCATTATAATAAACACATTGGCTATTCAGTTATCATATTATCTATCTGCACTCTGCAAAGTCTAATGATTGAAATGTGCCTCTTAATAGTCAAAACAGTAATTTAACAAACTTTTGTATATAGACACAGTGTAGTGCATGAAGTTTTATAAACAGCATCGTCTACGCTTATGTTATCTTGAAACTTTTTATTTATTATGTGATGCAGATGTTTCGTAAGGGCGGATTAATCTCTGGAATTCTAATCGTTTCGGAGCTAGATGCGAATTTCCTGTTAATTTCGCCTAATTTCATTATTCTTTTAGTTTTTCGGTTTCCTTTTTAACGGCGCTCATTTCTCCAGTGATTTCGTTAATTCTGTATTCAATTATTCTAACAATCGTTATAAATTGTGTGTTAGAACAGAAAAATATGAAAAACACAGACAACAGACTGGGGGCAAGTGTTTATTCTGATATATTTCATAACATAAGTTAGTTGAACGTATTTTTGAATTTTTTCGACGATGCGAATATGTGTTTCGTCAATAAATTTATTTTTGTTTCACTGGCCTTTTTCACTAAATTTGACGAAGGATATCAAAAAACATACAATCATTAAAGCATGTAAGTATATATTTGACATTTTTGAAACACCAGTTGTTTTATAAATTCTTCAATCAATCCAGAGATGGTATACCATTAGAATTTGTGTTTTCCTCCGATCTAATGCGGAGATCTAGTATTCTGATTAATGGTAAAAAAATTAACAGTAACCAAAGTTGCTTTAAGTTAATTAAATATTACAGAAATTTAGCGTTTTAAAAATAGATATTTTTGATTTCAGAAAACGAGTTTTAGGAATTTCCAAAATTCCCTTGCTCATCAGAATTTGATCCTGAACAAGTTTTGTACCTATAGTTTTCTTTCAAAATGCTTATGTGAAGCGAAATTTGGTTCAAGACTTACACCGTTTTTGATATCGGGTCTCTGAAAAATTGAGCATAAAAAATTTCCTTTACTTCAATTTTTGATATAGCCATCTGTTCTGGCACGTCAAATTACCTATGTTTTGTGAGTCCCTAGAAAATTTTCATCTCATTGAGCAAAAAAATTATTTTTAGGACTAAGTTTGGTCAGGTGGTGTAGTTCTGCCAAAGTTTACTTTAAAAATTTACCTTTAGGAATTCCACATTCGCAACGTTATTTTATTATACAAAACAAGATTATGGACAATTTTTTATGGACAAGTGATTTTCCAATTTATCTGTCTAATTTTGTCCGATAGAGCTGAAACTTTGTGTATCTATACAGCTCAATCTGCTCTATCGAATGAATCAAAAATGAATTTCAAAATTGAAATTTAGAAAGGAATAGTATCGATAAGTCGGTTTTTCGTTTCAAAAAATTTACGATTGAAAGTCTCCATGTTCTCTATGTTGAGATAAGTTGGAGAAAACCAATAATGCACATATAACTCCTGATAAAGATAAGGAATGAAATACGATTCTATTTGTGTTCACACTTCACCTATTAAATGTTGCAAGCATTAGAGATGAAAGCTGTTTTTATAACTATCGTATTTCATTCCTTATCTTTATCAGGAGTTATATTAGGTTGAGGAAAAAGTTCGTGCGCCGTGTTAAAATAATGATTTTTTATGCATGAATTTATTCAAAAACAACAACAACTATTCTTCAAAATAAAGACC